AAAAACTGTATGAACATTTTAAGGTTTTTGATAAAACTGCCAAACTGCCCTAAATATATACTGTAGCAATTTATTCTCTAACAGTGGGTAAATGTCCACTTCTATGTACCAAATCATTTATAAAATCTTTAAAAGGCAACTATTAACAGTACAGTCAGTAGCTTCTTCATATATAATACAGAAGAGTCTTATGGGTAGAGACAGTTTCAGTGGTAGAGGCCCAGGGAATTATAAGATCTTTGTAGCAAGTTTTTACTTAAGTGTCTATTTGGGACAGGTGATAAGAGGGTCCTTCCAAGCCACCCTGACACAAACCTAATAGCTGGCAGAGGTGCAATAAATGATTAGTAAATAAAAGAAACAAACATCATTTGCGGAAACTGATTTTGAATTTTACTCCTACTATCTCCAGCTGTCTGCTCACTAGTAATGTGGTAATAATTTTAAAAGAAATAAAACACTTGCTTTCATTTTACAGTTGCTAAGTCAATGGCCCATTTTCAAAAAAGAAAAACCAATCTTCTTCTTGTAGGTTTGTTTAGAAGGAAAAAGAGAGGCAGCAGTGAGGGCCATGTCTCATTCTTCTCTATATCAGTGACCTCAGCACAATGCCCGATACAGAACAAGCCCTCAGTGAACACCACTTTGAATGAAAGGAACTAATTTGAATTCCTAGTTTTGACCTGTAAATTTGGACAGGACATTTTATTTCTCTCAATATCAGTTTTTCCATATACAGAAAGATAGGAGAAAAACAGCTTATGGAGGGATGTGTTGCTTCAGAATGAGTAAGAAAATGAATGCCCATGAGGTATTTTGTAAAGCCTAAAGCAATGGTCCCAAACTGGGGTGTGTAGGGAATCATCTGGGAGGCTTCCATTTTGAAAATATGTATTTTGGCAGGGCGTGGTGGCTTATACCTGTAATCCCAGGTATAAGCCACCTGGGATTACAGGTATAAGTAATGACTACAGAGGTCAAAGCTGGAGGATCACTTGAGCCCACGAACTCGAGACCATGCTGAACAACATGGCAAAACTCTGTCTCTACAAAAAGTACAAAAATTAGCTGGGCCTGGTGGCTCACAACTGTAGTCCCAGCTATTCAGGAGGCTGAGGTGGGAGAGTCACTTAAGCCTGGGGGGTCAGGGCTGCAGTGAACCGTGAGTGTGCCACGTTACTCCAGCTGGGGCAACAGAGCAAGACCCTGTCTAAATAAAAATTTTTTTAAAAGAGAGAGAGAGAATACATACACACACATTTCTTGGCTTCCCCTACTGAATCAGAATCTGTATTTAGGAAGCTTGGGATCTATTTTTAACAAGCTCATCAAATAATTCTTACACAGCAGGACACTGGTTCGGCATTTGGAATCCTATCATCTAAAGCACTACTAAAGGAAAAGGATGCAAGATTGGAAAACAGCCTCTGGCCAGTCAGAAGAAGCAATTCAACAAAGCACGTAATTCAAAAAAGCAAGCGATTTAGTTGTTAAGACTTTTGTAATCGCAGAACTTTGGGAAGCCGAGGTGGGCAGATCTTCAGAGGTTAGGAGTTCCAGACTAGCCTGGCCAACATAGTGAAACCCTATCTCTACTAAAAAATACAAAAATTAGCTGGGCATGGTGGTATGCACCTGTAATCCCAGCTCCCAGGGAGGCTGAGGCAGGAGAATTGCTTGAACCTGGAGGCAGAGGTTGCAGTGAGCCGAGATTGGGCCACTGCACTCCAGCCTGGGCAACAGAGCAAGACTCCATCTCAAAAAAAAAAAAAAAAAAAGAAATAAAAAGACAAAAAAAAAAAAAAAAAAGAAATAAAAAGACTTGATCTGTTTTTTCTCTTGAGACTTAGAGAAAGATCAATTTTCATTTTTGTTTCTAAAACATGGCGTTATTCAATTATTTTCTTTGTATTAGCCCTTGAGGTACACAGTTGCTCACAAGAGTCAGAGATGTACACCTCTGCTCCAAGGTGAAAGTGATACAGATCCTAAATAAAATTTATCCCTACAGAGTTTATTTTTGGGGTGATGAAAATGTTCTTCAAACTAGACAGTCATGATGACTATACAATCTTGTGATCATACTAAAAACCAATAAATTATACACTTTAAAAGGATGAATTTTATGGTATGTAAACTGTATCTTAATTTTTAAGAATCTGTCACCAGTCCTCTGAGCTAACATCTATGGAGTATTTCAGAACAGCAGTACAGTAAAACTAAAAGACAACTTCACCTAATTGCATTAAGGCATGAAATTCTACCTGAAGGGTTACAACCTTTCTTTTAATTCCAAGAAGCTCTATTACCACCCCCCAACCTCTACCTCCCCTTCCCCAACAAAAGCAAGAGAGGAGTAAAGCATGAGATCACCTAGAATTACCATCTCCAGAGCAATGGATAATTTTGCTACTTAGGAGACATTTTTAGCTGTTAACAGTGAGTTGGGTGCTATAGTCATCTAGCTGGTTGAGGCAATGGGATGCTACGACTAAATATTAAACATAAGACATAGTGCAGTGCCCACAGCAAAGAACTGTCAGCGCAAAATGTCAAACAATTTTCTAGAGCCATGGTTCTCAAAACGTGGCCCCCAAGTCACCAACAATAGCATCACCTGGGAACCTATCAGAAATGCAAAATCTCAGCCAGCCCAGACCTATAGAATTAGCAATTCTGGGCATCAATGTTTTAGCAAACTCTCTAGATGACGCAGATCAATACTAAGCATGAAAGTCACTGATGAAGTTAACAAACGTAATGTTAAATAATGCAATCGAAACACAACAGTGAAGTTTTGTGTCCAAAGTCACCTACAGTTAGTATGGAACAAAACCAGGATTTGAACCCAGGCTGCCTAATGTCAGAACCTGCGTACTCTTATGCTATACTATTTTTTTTAAGTGCCTTAACTTTTGTATATCAGTGACTTATTCTTCCATGACAGGATAAAAGTTGCTGGCAGAATCAAGTTAGGCAGAGGACAGAGAATGGAATGGGAGAGATATCACCATAATAATGATACCACCCCAAATTCTAAGCACTAGTATACATTTTATAAGTTGCCAAATAAGTAATATGAAAACAATAAGGATATATTAATGTTGCTAGGTTACTCCAAAGTATACTGAGCCTATGTGATGACTTTTTTTTTTTTTTTTTTTTTGGTCAAAGCTTGGTAGCAATTCCTCTGAAACACAGGCAGAGGTTCACACAAAAACAAAACAAAACAAAAAACAACTTGGTAGCACTGTAGATTTTCTTGTTTTTCAGTCTCTAAAACCTGGAAAAGTGCTATCTTTTCAAGATTCACATACAGTTCAAGAAATTAGGCTTGACAGGTGTAATAGGCAGGGCAGATTTTGACTCAGAGGGTGGAGAGAGGAGGCACAGTGGAAATTTTCAAGCATGCCCTGCTCAACTTGCTTGCATGAACTTTGATTTCGAATTTAAGCTTAAAATGGGAAAGTTCCCCTTGGTAGAATGATACTTAACTCTTTTTTATAACTTTATCTTTCAACAAAAATTTGGAACATATGGTTCTTGCGCCAGTAGGCTGTCTGATAAAAGGGCAATTTATCCAGCATATGAGAAAATGAGATGTTCCACTGAGTTCCGTGTAAGTGACAGAATTATCCCTTTAAGTACTTAAGCTTTTATTACTTTAGCCGTTTCTAGTAGAATAATTTTTAAAATGTTCCATATATGTCTCTCCAATCTCTAAATGCTATGTAGTGAAAACATACTTTTATCTGATACTCAGGATTATAATTTTGATCTTCAATAATTGAACATGGAGCCTGTAGAAGTACATAAGGATGTCAGCCCAAAGACGGAATCATCCAGCTCTTGGGTCTTGTCTGTCACTGACAGTTGTCTGAATTTTGCTCAGTGAGAGCAAAACCCCACACGCAACCAAACTGACTAGAAGTTGACATAAAATAGAGCAAATTAATCTAAATGAGTCTTTTCTTTGGAGTGTATGTGTACACTTTTGCTTGCATTTGGTTTTTGAATTGTGTTTAGCATTAATCTGGCTTCCAGATGGGGGGAGGTGCTACTAGACATGTAAATGACATCAAACATTGCTCGCCAAAACATTTATTCTGCTTTTTAAAACATTTATTCTGCTTTTTATAATGACGGCTGAAAGAGAACAAACCCAGCATTTACACTCTATTTTGAAACATGTCTTTTAAAGTGTTTCCAAATCTTAGAATTCTACTTCTTCATAAACACCGCCCTCCAATTTTGTCACTGATAATCTCTAATCTTATCCAGAAATTTTCATTGATGAGTTTTCCAGTGACATTTCAAAAACTCTATTCTACAATGCCATACTCCCTGACCTCTCTACCAAGCTGATAATGTGGATTACCCGTTTTCTTGACATTTTATGAGACTCTAAATAGATTCTCTCATGTTGTCAGGTTCTGTCAGTAGCCTTTCAAACTTCTCAGATTTTTCCTCTATATTTTTTATCAGCATTTCTCACTTACATAAGTGCAATTACTAAGTACCATATTTTTGCAGATGCCCTTCAAACACAGACAGTCCCCAACTTAGGATGGGTTAATTTATGATTTTTCAACTTTACAATGATGCAAGAGATACACATTCAGTAGAAATCATACTCTGCCCATAAAACCATCATATTTTTCATTTTCAGTAGAGTATTCAATAAATTGCATGAGATATTCAAGACTTTATATGAAATAAGCTTTGTGATAGATGATTCTGCTTAACTGTAGGCTAACAATGTAAGTGTTCTGCACACGTTTAAGGTAGGCCAGGCTAAGCTATGGTGTTTGTTCGGTTAGGCACATGAAATGTATTTTCAACTTATGATGAAAGGTTTGTCGGGATGTAACCCCATCGTAAGTTAAGGAGCCTCTGTACATCTCTCTATTTTCATGTATTTTTTCTTCCTAGATTTTAAACAATGCAGCCCTACTTAGATTCAAATAGCTTCATCTTTGCCTTCTTCTTTCTCTAGCATAAAGGGAAGCACTCCTTGCGCAGACTCAAAAACTCCAATCTTAAGTTCCTCGCCATTCTGTTTACAGATTTACAGATTCTGCCAAATCTATTCCTTTCACATTATCAAAGAATTTAGAGCTTTGCGCAGTGGCAGTATCGTAGCCAATGAGGTTTGTCCAAGGCGCGATTATTGCTAACTGAAAACTTTTCCCAATACCCTGCCATGACGACTTGAAATATAGTCGGCATTGGCAATTTTTGACAGTCTCTAAGGAAACTAAATTTTAAAAAAAAGATTTAATTTAGTGCTTCTTTCCTCTATCTCTCCCCTGCCTAGTCAAACCTCGGCCACATTATGCAACTTAGTTTTCCTCTCTTCTGAAATACAGCAGTGAAAGCCATGTCCTTGCCTGGAGGCGGAACCCAACAGAAGTGTAAGCTGCGCATTAACTATATATTGCTGCTATCTGAAATCCCCTAAATGGTCTAATATGCAACTGGCTACCTCAAGCTCTACCACTGGATATAGTCTGTTTCAGTGGAAATTGATTCGTGACATATCCAAATTATAAAAACCTCAGACTATTTTTATTACTTTTTAAAACCAACGTAAGGCAATATTTCTCCAGCCTTTCCAGCAAAGTGCCTTGCATAGGAGCGTGACGTCTACACTCCAGGGATCCCGACTCATAACCCAAGACACCGCTAAACAGATTTTCTCACATTCGTGTTTTACCTTTAAAATTAATACAAATGCTACAGTCGCCTCCAAAAACACATGCGCAAACATTTAATTAACCTTCTCAGCAATGAGTGAAACGGACGCTCCCGAACGCAGCGCGGGATCCGTCTGAGCTCTGCGCATCCCTCCCCCTCCCCGAACCGCGACGCGGCGAGAACGACTGGAACCCAGGCGTCGGTTCCCCGGCCGCGTCCCGAAGACCCAGCTTGAGGAAGGCGAGGTCGCTGACGTGACAAGTGAGTATGTATTTACTTCAAAGCGTGAGGAATCTAAAACCGTTTAATAATTCAAAATCAGAATCCCACGACGCTGTCCCTCAAGGCCTTCGAGTTCCATTGTTGACGCCCAGACACCTCCAGACTTCTAAACGTCTGCTCGACGCCTGTGACAGGCGTCGGCCCCTCGCGCACTCCCACCGCCAGCGGCGCCTCGCGTCCGAAACTGGGTCCCCCGGCGCCTCCTGCATTCTCCCCACGCTCCCTCACAGGCGCTTTGCTTTCCCTTCCCAGGCCGGGCGAGGGCCGTACTCCGAGAAGGCGGCAACAAAGGCGAGGAGCCGCGGAGGCTTCCAGGCGCGGGGCGGCCAGGCTCGGCTGCCACCGAAGCACAGCGCCGCCCCAGCTGCGAGCAGCCGCGCGGGTCTCGGAGTCGCCCGCTGCGTCCCCACCCCAGCCCGGCCTGGGTCCGCCCGGAGCAGCGACGCCTCAGGCCCTGCAAGTTTCTCTCGGACCCTGGGCCGACCCTCCTCACCACGCCCGTCCTGGGCCCCGGATGTGACGGCACCGTTGCCTGCGGCACTCGCCCCCCGGGCCGCGCGTTGGGGGTCCCAGTAGGTGACGGGGGGAGGTGGTCTTCCTGCCGGCCCGTGGCCCCCACATACCCAAGTGAGGAGGCTATCGCACAGCTCCGCCCGCTCCAGCGACTCCACGCTAAACATCTTCCCCGCCACGGCCGGGCAGCGTCTCCCGCCTGGCCGGACGCTGCCGCCACTCGGTCGGGGGATCCGGGGGCCCGCGACGCTGCCTCGGCCTCCGGCCCTCCTGCTACTCAGATCCGGCCGCCGACTGTCGCCCAGCGCTGGCAGCGGCTCCGCACCGTCACCCCCGGGGCCCCTCCTTCTCCTTTCTATCGGGACCGCGCGCCAACAGCGCGCGACTCCGGCCACGCCCGCCGCCCCGCGTCCCCGCCCCCGGCCGTCCACACCGCTCCTCCCGAGCGCTGCTGCTCAGGCTGGAGCCGCGGCCTAATACCCACTGCGCACGCTCGCGCCCCGGCCGACCCGCGCCGCCGGCTCGCTGCGTGTCGAGGCGCGCGCGCACGCGCCCGGCCCTGGCGGCTGCGGCGGTGGGTCCTCTTCCACCGTCGGCTCGCGCCCTCGCGGAAGCTCGGTAGTGCGCGTGCGCCCGCACCCGCACTCCAAATTAAAAAGGGGACGGCTAGTGGTAGCCCGGGAGGGGTGGCGGGAGCGGTCCCGGAAATAATCTGTTCTCTGTCACCGGGAACTGGCGAGGTAGTTCATCCGCGGTGGAGAGGTACGTCCGGCGGGCGGCGGCCACGCCTACCCCACCCGGGCCAGCGGAGCCGCAGACGGCGGGGCCCGGCCATCCTGGGGTCGGTAGGGCAGCCAAGGCTTTGCGGGGCGGCGGGAGTCGCCGCCTCCTCCCTCGCGACCCCGCCCTCCTTTGGAAGCCCCAGAATCGCCCTGCGGCTGTCCGGAGTCGCCGGCGACAGTGGAGGGGCTGATGCGGAGGGCGGCTCGGCGGCTCTAGGTGGGCTTAGCCAGCGGCGAGAACACCGCCGCTCCTTCTGGGGTCGCTCGGAACGCGACCCTGAGAACTCTCCTGAATGCAGGAGGAGCGTGCGCCCGTTCGCCAATCCGTAAGGACCCCGGCCGACCCCGGGCCTGCGTCTCCCAGCGTTCGGAGTTGCCTTCGCTTAATGGCGAGGCAAATTGTTGTCGAGCTCCCACCTCTTGAGGCACGAATCTCTCCGCAGGGTTGCCGATACATTTTTAGCAGAGATAGCATACGCAGAAAAGTGCATAGACATACACGTTTAAAGAAGAATTAATAAAACACGCAGATAAAAATGAAAAGGGCATTACCGGCACCCCAGGAGTTTCTTGCCCCTGCCCTGCGCTCCTTTCTCGGAGCTTGATTCTCTCCTAGCCTGACTAGTGTGATCATCACTTCCTTACAGCTTTACCATTTATGTGTGCATGCGATCTCGTTTTCCTTTGCCTGTTTTTGAACTTTTGCGAGTGGATCATAGTGTGTTGTTTGTGGTTTTCAATCAGTATTAAATTGATGTGCTGTGTATCTATAGGTAATTTTCATTGCTGCCTAGTAGTCCACTGTGTGAATAGAACAGTGTATCCAGACTGGGTATGCGTTTTGTTCCAGACTGAGGCTACTCAGAACATTGCTATAAGCATCCTGGTGTGCCTGGAACCTAGTGCAAATTTGCTGGAATTTCCAGGACACACTCTCTGGAGTCCTTAGAGAACTGTCATGCATAGAGTATGCATAACTACTAGCCAATGCCAAATTTTTATTTGGAGTGCAACAAAGTTAACTTCCCAGGACACATTTTAGTTTGGCTTCTCCCTTTTTTTTTTTTTTTTCCATTGAGAGTAGGTTTTCTCATTGAGCACTCAAGACAGCATTGAGTTGGGTTTTTTGTTTGTTTGTCTTTGAGAAAGGGTCTCATTCTGGAGTGCAGTGACGCAATCTTGGCTCACTGCAACCTCTGCCTCCCAGGCTCAGGCAATCCTCCTGCCTCAGCCTCCCACGTAGGTGGGACCACAGGCGCAAGCCACGATACCCGGCTGATTTTCTTACTTTTTTGTGGAGAAGGGGTCTCACTATGTTTCCCAGGCTGGTCTCAAACTCCTAGGCTCAAGTGATCTGCCCGCCTTGGCCTCCCAAAAGTTCTGGGATCACAAGTGTGAGCCACCGAGCCTGAACCAGCATTGAGTTTTTAAGGATGCCTTACAGAGTACCACTCAACAGTTGACATCTGATCATTTAGCATTTTGTTAAGTGTAAAAAAAAAAAAAACTTACCTGAAGTCTTCTCAATGGTCTTTTTTTCAAACATCCTTCCCTACACCAAGGACAGAGAAACCTTTAGAAAATACACATATGTGTCTCGCCTATGTTTGGTTTCTGTGTTGGTGACTGTGGGTATTTGTCAAACTAGAGTTCCTACATTCCTTACCAGGTTGTTTCTATCAAATCTCTAGCACTTTTAAGTGACCTATAATCTTGTAGGCAAATGAATGAAGTCAGTGAGTATATGTCACATTGACTTAAGCCTGACTTGCATGCAGCTTGTCTTTAGATGGGCAGACAAGATGCCGGCCCTGCTGGAGCGACTATGGCTTTACCATCCTGAGCACCCTTCCTTCAGCGGCCTGGTTTTCAAGGCTTAGACACAATGGACTGAAAGCCTCCTTTTTCAAGGTTGTCTGCTTATCCAGTGCTTTTGTGCATGATGTTGCAGTGTTCTGGATGTTTCATTTTGTAATTCCAGTTACCTTTGATGAAAGAAATTAGTAGAAGCTTCTTGGTTGTGAGTCATTCCAGAAGCCATGTGGCCGTCAAGTTTCTACATGAGCCTTGGGGTAAAAAGACACTGAGATTCTCTCCTTTGTTCCAGGAAGTCCTGGAATTTTCAATTTTTCCCTCTGTGTGGTTTATTTTTTTTCTTCCCCAAAAGCTTTGGAAATGCCTGAAGAGAGGTAAGTTGAATTTGTCTTAGCTGTCTCCTTACTCCGGGTAGTTGGAGGCTAGTTCTTACCCACAGCTGCTTATCGGATTGAAGAGGGCATGTGCTGTGTGACAGTGCTCCAGATTGCATCCGGTCTTCCTAGGGTACACACACTGAGAGCTATGATTAAAGAGAGTTTGAGATGCTATGTAGACCAGCTTTGGGGCGGGCATAGCTAGCTAGGTTTTATCATAGTTCTGCACTTCCCACCCCACCCCCACCCCAAAAAAGTGTGTCTGTTTGTTATGGTTCAACCTAATGTCTTTTACATTTTAGGAAGCTGAGACTGAGACTTTACATAAGTCCAGGGCTGTCTAATTCTGGAGCTTGTGCTGCTTTGCTGTCTTGAGCTACTCCTCAGTAAGATGTGGCTAGCTGAGCAATAGCAAAGCCAGTTCCTCTGCAAACTTCTATCAATTACACTGCAGTTTCCAAGATGGAAGGGGTTCTGTTTTTGTGAATCTTAAACAGTTCAAAACCAAGTATTAGTAACTCTTCTTTTCATTTTTTGTTTTGTTTTGTTAGATGGAGTCTCGCTCTGTCGCCCAGGCTGGAGTGCAGTGGGCTGATCTCAGCTCACTGCAATCTCCGCCTCCTAGGTTCACACGATTCTCTTGCCTCAGCCTCCAGAGTAGTTGGAATTACAGGCGTCCAACACCACGCCCAGCTAATTTTTGTGTTTTTAGTAGAGACGGGGTTTCACTATGTTGGCCAGGCTGGTCTCGATCTCTTGATCTCAAGTGATCCACCTGCCTCGGCCTCCCAAAGTGCTGGGATTACAGGCGTGAGCCACCACACCTGGTTTTCATATTTTACAGGATACCATGAAATAGATTACATACCATGTTCTATACATTTAATAACCTTGTTTCTGGGTTTCATGTAAACAACATTTAGTGGCCACTACAACATATCAGACCCTGCGCACTAATGACAGGAATAAGATACGATTCCTGACTGAAAGGAGTTCATTCTTTAAAAATGTATTTTTAATTTTTATGGATGTATAATTGTTATGTATATTTATGGGTACCTGTAATATATTGATAGAAATGTATACAATGTGTAATGATCAAATCTGGGCAGTATTTTGATGCAGGGTTTTGCTCTGTTGCCCAGGCTAGAATGTAGTGGTGCAATCACTGCAACCTCTGCCTCCTGGGTTCAAGCAATTCTTATGCCTCAGTCTCCCGAGTAGCTGGGATCACAGGTGTGCGCCACCACATCTGGCTAATTTTTGTATTTTTGGTAAAGATGGGGTTTCACCATGTTGGCCAGGCTGATCTCAAATTCTTGGCCACAAGTGATCTACCTACCTCAGCCTTCCAAAATGCTGTGATTACAGGTGTGAGCCACAGCACTGGCCCAAATCTAGGGTTTAAAAAAACCCTATAACACAACCTTCAAATAACTTGAAAAAATGGAATGAAAAATAAATCCAGTAAGGTGTTACTTTATATGCTTGGAACTAAGTGCTTAACATTGTATGATTAGTAATAATAATAAATTTCGAAGATGAAGCGATTAAACACAGTATCTGCATATTTTAAAAGTGAACTATAGTCACTTATGGATTTTGTAAATATTTGGCACCTATCAACATTAACTTTTGGCTGGGCATGGTACCTGATACCTGTAATCCTAGAACTTTGGGAGGCCTAGGTGGGCAAAATCCTTGACCCCAGGAGTTTGAAACCAGCTTGAGTAAGATGGTTAAACCCCATCTCTACAAAAAATTAAAAAAATTAGTTGAGCATAGTGGCGCATGCCTGTAGTCACAGCAGGAGGGTTGATTGAGCCTGGGAGGTAGAGGCTGCAGTGAGCCAAGATTCCACCACTGCACTCCAGCCTGGGTGACAATGATACCCTATCTCAAAAAATAAATTAAAAAAATTAATTTGTAAACATTAATTTGAGTAATATCTGTTTTTCAAAAAGGAAGTTCATGATGTAGTGCAAGCGTTTACCAGTTGACATGCCAGTCATGCCAGTTAGGTCTGTGGGTGCCTCCATAGAGTGACAGGATGGTAGATGAGAATGGGCATTGAGTGGGCATTGAATCCCAATTTGCATCTCAAGAAAGGAAGCAAGTATTGGCTTTATTTTTCTTGTTAAAGTAATATGTACTTGAAAGACTTGAAACTGTAAAACTGTGTCCTAGGGAGGGTGACAGTCTCGCTCTGCCAGTCCAGCTCCTCACTGATAACCACTCTAATGTTCAGCTTTGATCTGGCCTTTTTTCTCCCGAAACTCTGAGTCAGAGAAATTTAGCAGAAGGAACTGAAGAAATCAAGTCACAGTTGTTAACCTAAAATAATTTAAAAGGTCAAAATCGAGTTTAAAGAGAATTTAAGTATAAAGGTTGAGGACAGGCCACCTGAGAAAGGACAGATTTCAAAGCAT